CCTGTTTCAAAAAAAAAGTTTTTATTGTAAAATATGTGTAGCATAAAAATTACCATTTAAACATTTCTGAATGTAAAGTTCAGTGATTTTAAATGCATGCATGTTGTTATGACCATTTAAGATTCTTATTCTTTGAGACAGAGTCTTTCTGTAACTCCAGCTGGCCTGGAACTCAGCATGTAGACCAGACTGACCTCAGTCTCACAGAGATCTGCCTCCTCAGTGCTGGAATTAAAGGCATGCACCACCATGCCCAGTCAGATTCTTTTTGAGAAATTAGGTTGTCCACATGTTTTTTGTTTTTTAAGAAAAATTAGAAAATTTTACCTCAGTTATACTACAGTGATATATTTACCCACAGAACACATAAAAATTAGGTTTTTAATTAGTCTCAACGAACTGCCTATGGAAGAAGAATCTTTTGAAGTTCTTAAAAGTTTAGAATTTTGGAAAACCTTACATAAAGTATTTTACAATTTTAAAGTAATGAATCATATTTCACAATGCTGATATGTCTTTTTGTATTCTTATCATGGTTTGGGTAAGACATAAATAATTAAACTGAATAGTTTCTGTTACTTTTTCCTTTTATCATTTTATGAAATAGTAGTAATGTGTTTGGTCAAAATCACCTGCTTAAACACTCAGTAATGCTTCTTGTATTTTTGTTTCATCTTCAGATTATGACTGTACCAAATGACCCTTATACTTTTCTGTCCTGTGGTGAAGATGGAACTGTTAGGTGGTTTGACACACGAATCAAAACTAGTTGCACAAAAGAAGATTGCAAAGATGTAAGAATCCAAATTTTATACAGGTGATACAGAAAAAAATTAGTTATAATTAAATTTGAACAGTTATCTTTTGGTGATAAGATTGTAAGTGGACCTTGAAAATTTGTTTTGCTAAAGTCTTGAATCACAATTTTTTAAAAAATAAATGTTAATGGGGTTGAGAAACTTGTATTTCAGTTATACATGTAATGTATTTATTGGGATATGGAAATGACTCATTAAAGTGCTTGCTGTACAAAGCATGAAGACCTGAGTTTAAATCCCTAGAACCCATGTAAAAGCAGACATGGCAGTGCACATCTGTAATCTTAGCACTGAGGAGAAAAAGACAAGTAGATCCTTGACCTTTGGCCAGCTAGCCTGGTTGAATTGAAAACCATATTGTTGTTTCCCTTTTTTTGTTTTGCTGAGTTAGAATTTCTGAACTAGGTTATTGAAATAGGGAAATGTTTTAAATTTAGTATCTTCACTACTGTATAGCTATATGAAACTGGTATTATGTCTTGTTTTCTAGGATATTTTAATTAACTGCCGGCGTGCTGCCACATCTGTAGCTATTTGTCCACCTGTACCATATTATCTTGCTGTTGGTTGTTCTGATAGCTCAGTACGGATTTATGATCGGCGAATGCTGGGCACAAGAGCTACAGGTAAGGAAATAATATTAGACAAACTTTGGGACTATTAATTCAAATAAATCTTTGTGACATTTAACACAGAGTTCTTGTTTGTTACAAAATTTAAATAGGATTTATTTAAATAATACAGCTTATTCTAACAGAAAAGTATTCTAAGATTTTAGACTCTGTTGGAGACTAGGTAGTTGTGTTACATGCCTATAATTCCTATAATCCCAGCACTTCAAAGCTGGAGGCAGAAGGTTCAAATTAGTTAAAGGTCATCCAAGTGTGATACCTAACCTGTGCTACATAAGACCTTGTCTCAAAAATAAAAAAACAATTTAAAAAAAGTTAAATGAAAGAAAGAAAGGAAAAGACAAGACTCTTTTGGGCTTATGCTTTCATTTTATCACCTAAAAATTTATAGCAGGGGATGGAGAAATAGCTCAGTGGTTAACAGCACATAGTGTTCTTATAGAGGACCTGAGCTGGTTTCCCAGCTTCCATGTTGGGCAGCTCACATCTGTCTGTAATTCCAGCTCCAGGAAATCTGATGCTGTATTAGTCAGGGTTCTCCAAAGAAACAGAACCAGTAGAATGAATATGTATAGAGATTTATCAGCTTAGCTCACAGGATAGAGTCCGAGAAGTCCAACAATGGCTGCACCACACTGGAGAGGCTGAGAATCTGTGGTCGCTCAGTCCACAAGGCTGGATGTCTCAGTAGTCCCAATCCGGTGCTGAAGGTCTGACAAATTCCAAAATATCAGCTAGTCTTCAGTCTACAGCAGCAAGACGAACTCACCAGCGAGAGAGAAGGCAAGCCGCAAAAAGCCCCGTGTTCTCCTCTGCCTTGGTCTTTTATACCGGCTGCCATCAGAAGGTAACGCCCACATTGAGGGTGTGTCTTCCGGCTTTAGATGATCCAATCAAGAAGATCTCTTTCATTTCAGTTAATCTCAGATCCAATCAAGTTGACACCCAGGATTAGCCATCATAGATGCCCTCTCTGGCCTCTGTGGGCACCTGTACTCATGTGCATGTGCACACACATATACACATAATTAAGCCTTAAAAATTTATTTAAAATACTTTATGTGTTACTTTCCTGAGACTGTCACAATATAGTATCACAAAGTGAGTCTCTTAAAACAACATAAATTTCTTTTCTTTACATTTCTATAAATTAGATATCTGAAATCAAGATATCTTGGATTAGGTCTATTGGAGATGCTGAGGGAAAATGTTCTGTGCCTCTCTCTTGGCTTGGGATGATTGCTGCTAGTTCTTGGCAATGTCATGGGAGCACTTAAGAGTGTTAAACCCACTGCTTCTTCAAATAAATTAGTAGATTATTGGTAATGGAAAATAGATTGATTTACATTTTGAACATACAGGTGAGAGAAAGATTCCTAGTTTTTCTTTGCCTTTCCTGTAGCAGTGTTACAATTCTATAGAAAAGATAAAACAAAGCCCAGTAATATGGGCATGCAATTTAAGTTGTCAGAACTATGTGAAATCTCTTCCTGGAAGACATGTTCTTTTAGCTGTCACCAGAGCTTCAGCCTTTCTTGACCCCAGCTTGGGGTTCCTAGGAATAATTTTAGTTCTTTGGGGCCAATTGTTTCAAGTCTAATAGCCAAAGGGCAGGACATAAGTATCTTTAGAATATCTCTTCCAACCAGTGCATATTTCAAAATCTGATTCAAATTCAGTACTGCAGCAATATTCACAGTATTTTAAGCTAAGCAGATGTAAATATATGCCAGATACTAGTTGATACCAAAGTCCATCTCTGTTAGTAAAGAGCAGCAGTTTTAGAGCTCTTTTGGCCTCATTTATAAACCACACCTGTAGAGAGCTCTGGAGGAGGAAGATCCAGCAGAGCTGGAGCAAAGATGTACTGTATTTCCTTCAGCCTGATTGTAAAAGGTCCTGTTTTAACAATCAGGTTTAGAACAATGGGAATTACTCAGTTAAGTCCTTTTTCCTTTTCCTTGGAAGGAAGACAGGAGAGTCATCCGAAATTACTCAATACTTATACACACTTTTAGTCCCAGCACTTGGGAGGCAGAAGCAGACAAATCTCTCTGAGCTTGAGGTCAGCTTGGTCTACATAATGAGTTCTAGTCCAACTGGGGCTACTGAGAGACCCTGTCTGAAAAAAATTCTTTCTCTTTGAGTACATTTATAATCTCAGGATCTTGAACTTTAGTGTACTACATATGTATGAGCCACTGTGCCCAATATACAAAATCAATTGTTTGGTTTACCTCAGTTGCAGTAGCTATTTACATTTTTAATTTTGATATTGTTCTCAGATTAGTGATTGAATTATACAGAGTATTACTGTGTTTAGGAAGAAACTCTATTACGTTCAGCAAAATTCGTTCTGAAATTGTCCATCATTGTGCTGTCTCAAGAATGGCAAGAAAGGGTTCTGTCACAGGAAGTGATTTCTTTAGCATGTTGATTTTCATCTTCAGCCTGAATTTGTGTTGAGCTGTATGTAATGCACCCTAGGCCCATTAATATTTTGAGCTCTTCTGTATGAAAGCAAAAATGTGATTTTAATTCCCTGACAGCTGTAAGTTATACTGATGAAGTAAGTTATTTATTTTAAAGGGCCAAGATAACATCTCTGGTGTACCAAAGAAGAAATAGATATGCTTTCTAAAATAAACAGACAAATGGTGTTCTGTATAATTTGCTAAATATCAGCTTTCCTATTACAGAAATTTTCTTTTTAAAAAATATTTTATTATTTTTAATTTTTATGCATATGAGTGTATTGCTTGTATGTGTGTAAGTGTACCCATGTGTGCAATGCCTGCAGAGGTCAGAAGAGAGCGTCAGATCCCCTGGAACAGAAGGAATGTACGGTTGTTAGCTGCCACGTGGGTGCTGGAAATTAAACTCGGTTCTCTACATGTGTAGTCAGTGCTTTTAACCGCTGAGTCATTTCTCCAACTGAGAAATTTTCTTAATTTGAATGAAAAGTGGAGATGGTTTTAGTATTGCTGAATATATATAATATATATAATCTGAAATCAGTTATTAATAAATAGCTGAAATTTCAGCAAACCATATAATCTGGAATTCTGAATAATCATGAGGTTTTTTTTTTTTTTTGCAAACATGCTGTCTTTAGAGCGTTCTTTTTTGTTTGCTATAAATTTAGACTACTGAAGGAAAACCTCTTCTAGACATAGGATAATTTGGGTTTATATTGGTATATTATCTCACATATCTCATAATTCAGGATAAAAAACTTTTAAATGGGGGATGAAGAGATGGCTCAGTGGTCAAGAGCACTGGTTGCCCTTGCAGAGGACCAGGTTTGGTTCCCAGCACCCACATGGTGGCTAATAACCTTCCTTAACTTCAGTTCCAGGGGACCCAGCACCCTCTTCTGGCCTCTGTGGGTGCTGAACACACCCTTGTACTACATACCTGCAAACAAAACATTTATACACATTTTTTAAAGTTAAAAAATTGTTTTGTTTATAACATCATTATTTTAAAATTATTATTTTAATAATTATTTTGTTGATTTTAAATAAATTCCTATTTAGGGAATTATGCAGGTCGGGGAACTACTGGAATGGTTGCTCGCTTTATTCCTTCTCATCTTAATAATAAGTCCTGCAGAGTGACATCGCTGTGTTACAGTGAAGATGGTCAAGAGATTCTTGTTAGTTATTCTTCAGATTATATCTACCTATTTGACCCCAAAGATGATACAGCACGAGAACTTAAAACTCCTTCTGCAGAGGAGAGGCGAGAAGAGGTAAGTTTATCCAATACTGTGTTCTTTATTCACGGAGACATACCTGTAGTTCACAGATACAGTCAGAACGATCGGGTGTTTAAGGCCATCCTTGGCCAAGTAGTAGGTTTGAGGGCAACTTGTGTTATATGAAACATTGTCTCAAAAAAAAATATGCGTGTGTGTGTGTGTGTGTGTGTGTGTGTGTGTGTATGTATAGAGAGAGAGAGTGTGTTGGGGCTGGAGGGATGACTCAGCAGTTAAGAACACCTGCTGTTCTTCCAGAGGACCTGTCAATTCCCAGCATCCACATGGTGGCTAACAGCCATCTCTAACTGTAGTTCCAGGGGATCCGACACCCTCTTCTGGCCTCTGTGGTAATTGCATGACATGGGTACGCTTCATACATGCAGGCAAAACACTCATACACATAAAAAAAATGTAAAAATAATAAATGAAATATTTTTAAAAGATATTATTTCAGGCTGGGCATGGCGGTGGTGGTGCATGCCTTTAATCCCAGCACTTGGGAGGCAAAGGCAGGTGGATCTCTGTGAATATGAGGTCAGCCTAGGGTACATAGTAAGTTCCAGGCCAGGTGGGGCTACAGAGAGACCCTGTTTCAAAAAGACCGGAAAAAAAAAAAAAAGTGTGTGTATGTATATATATATAATTATATATATATATAATTTCAGTGGTTTTTCAAATAAATAAGTAAATGCATTGAACAGGCTAATAAATTAGGGCTCTAGAAAAAAACATTATGAGCTAATTTAAAGAGAAAATATGTAATAGTAAGCTGCTTCTCCAGCTTTGTAGATGCAGAGCAGCAGCAAGAAGAATCAGCAGCCCTGACACTTGCAGAAAGTCAGTTACAACAGTAGGAAATGTGATGAGGATGTGTCCATATGCCAATAGACATTTCACTCATTACCATTTACTGTTCCTACATGAACAATTCCATTCCCTCCTGGTTGTACCTCTTTGTTATAATTACAAATTAGTGGCATATAATAAAGCCCCAGGTACATTTTACAAAATATGTATGAGCAAGTAGGAAAAAGTTAAAGTAGAATTTAGTAAAAATAAGAGGTGAATGAATTAAATTACGATCACTAAAAATGATAGTAAAACTGTTAATAATTGTCACTTATAAAAGGGAGAAACTAGAAATAGTGCATTTTGGATAGTATACAGCCATGAGAACATCTTAGCTTTAGCTTGTTTGAGTTTCCCTAACATGTCTTTCACTTTGACCTTTTTATTGTACAATAGCCTATGCTTATTATCTATACTTTGGCTTATTAAATGTTCAGAAATTAACTTGATTTTTAAAAAATTATTAGTGATTTTGGTATTAGCCCAGTGTCTATTAATGAGTTTATTTTATTTGTGGTACTGGGGATTGAACCCAGGGCCTCACATATGCTATGCAAAGTACTGAGCTATATCCTCAGCATTGAGCACATTAAAGGAAGAATGGTAGCAAATTTGTAATTCCTATGAGATGCAAAACTAAATTCAGTTGTAGTTACAAATTTAGAGAATAATTAGGATTTTTTTATAGATCAGTTTTAGGATGTTGAATGTGGCAGTGTATTTAAGTGAAGTAAGAAAACCACAAGCTATTTATGAGTTTATTGGTCTGGTTGAAACATGAAGTCTGCTGTGTCATTCTGTTGCTGCTACATAATTTCCCCTTGAGACATGGGATAGACAGTTGCAATTGAACTCTGTGACTGTAAGATAATGAAAAAACTTGGAAGTACACAGAGGTTGAAGTGGGCCAACCAGCTCTGCTCTTTGAGAATCACAAGCCAAAGATGATCATATCATCAGAATGAATATGCTGAATCATTTTTTCTGATGTTTTACTTAGTATGCTTTGTTCAGTTAACCGAATTATGAAAAATAATTCTAAAATCTAAAATGTTTAAAAAATAATGTGTATTATAATTAAACAATTAAAAGGTATGTATATAAAAAATTAGCAGTCAATCTTAATACCCATAGTTTTTCTTTTCGTATTTTATACTAAAGCTTTGACAACAGTATTTAGATCAGCTATTCTTTATTCACCAAATATTTTACATTAAGTTTTATATCAAACTCGAGAAATTCTCGACAGAGACATGGGCTCTTTTACTTAAGAAATTTGTTATGTAGTGGAAATAGAGTTATAAATAAATGTATAAAACTTAAATGTGAAATTATATGTAAATACTAAGGTCTTTGTAAGTAAAAGAGAATAAAAGATTATGATTGGCAACATTAGCAAAGCTTGAGCGCTTGAGCAGTGTCTTAAAGCATAAATAACAGCTTATTGCATTTTTCTTTTGTTTCCTTCCGTGTGTTGTATATTTTCTTAATGTGTGGGACCTCATATTGGATTTTTTTTTTTTTTCTTTTTGAGACAGGGTCTCCCTGTAGCCGTAGCTGGCCAGGAACTTGCTACATAGATCAGGCTGGCCTTGATCTCACAGAGATCTGCCTGCCTCTGCCTCCTGAGTGCTGGGATTAAAGGCATGTGCCATCATGCCTGGTTTTGTAATTGTTTTTAATTAGAAGATTTTGCTCCACAAACATTTGCTGAAATGTTAATGCCAGTTCTTTGCCTGCACAGTATGAAATTCTTTGTGTTTTACAACCTGTAGTAGGATTCCGTTATGTTATTCTTAATATACTTCTTATAGAAGGTGAGGAATCATTATTTGTGATTTTGAGAAGCTGCCACACACCAATGGTCCTTTGGTCTTGTTCTTGTATAAATTTTGCTTTTCGAGATTGTTCTTTGCCATATTACACATATGGAATTTTGTGGTGTGGTGTGGTGTGGTGTGTGTGTGTGTGTGTGTATTTCCATATGCCCTTTGCCGAGAATGTTAGACATTACCTCCTTTATTTCTTGTTTTTTAGGGTTTTAGGAGAAGTCAGAAAATTTGCAACTAAGCTGCCATCAAGTTTTAATCAAGACCCACTTAATTTTGAGGGAGAAAAATAAAAACCCGTTAATGTTATTTAAAAAAAAATTGTGGGCTGGAGAGATGGCTCAGTGGTGAAGAACACTGACTGCTCTTGCAGAGGCCTGGGTTTGATTCTCAGCACCCATGTGGCAGCTAACAACTGTCCTTAACTCCAGTTCTAGGAGATCCAATGCTCTTTTCTGGCCTCTGTGGGCTCTGCATGACATGGGTGCACTCACATACATGTAGGCAAAACACTCATACACATAAAATAAAAGTAAATTAAAAAAAATAGATGCCTGTGATTGTGGCATTCAGGAAGTAGAGGCAGGAGGATGTCTGCAACTTCAAGGCCAGACTGGGCTACAATGTGAAATTCTGTCTCTCAATAAATAAATGGGATGATTCTGAATGAGAAAAAAATGTTTTTAAATCATACATCTGGTTAGAGTATAGTGTCTAGAAAATACAAGTAACTTCAAAACTTAACAGTAAAAAATCTCAATTAAGAAACAAATATTTAGGACTGGAGAGACAGTAGTTAAGAGCACTGACTGCTCTTTCAGAGGACTTGGGTTCAATTCCCAGCACCTACATGGCAGCTAACAACCATTCGTAACTCCAGTTTCAGGGGACTCCAATGCCCTCTTCTGACCTCCGTGGTCATATGACATGGGTACACTTACACACATGTAGGCAGACTTATACACATAAAATAAAAATAAAATAATAAATTATTTAAAAACCACACATTCCCAATTAAATAATTGGTAAAAGGTTTTAATAGATTTTTCTCCACAGAAGGTATACAGGTGGCCAATAAGCACATACAGAAATTTAACCATCATTAATCATCAAGGAATTGCAACTCAAAACCACAGTGAGATACTACTTCAAACACACTGGGATGTTTAATGTAAAAGAGACAGACACAAGTGCTGATACGCTAGAAAACTTGGTACCCTCAGACATTGCTGGTGGGAGGGAGTGTAAAATGGTTTAGCTGCTTTGGAAAATGATTTGTCAGCTCTTCAATTATTAAGCATAGGGCCATCCTATGAACTATCAGTACTACTATTATAAACATTCTTATGAGATTGAAAGTAGATATCCTTAAAAAGAACATGTAAGTATGCTCAATGGCAAGATTATTCATAAGAACTAATAGATGGAAGCAGTTTGGTGTCTTACCACCTGATGAATAGATAAGCAAAATATGGTATATCCATTAAATGGACTATTATGCAGCAATAGCAGTTAATATCAGTTACTGTAAAAATTACTCTTTCAAAATTAAGTTTTTGGTATTTTTAAAAAATATTTTACTATTTTTATTTTTTGTGTATGAGTGTATTGCCTACATGTGCTTAAGTGAAGTGCCTATGGGGGTCAGACAAGGGTTTCAGATTCCTCTGGAACTGGAGTTACAAATGGTTATTAGCCACCATGTGGGTGCTGGGAATCAAACCTGGATCCTCTGCAAGAGTAGTCAGTGCTCTTAACCACTGAGCCATCTCTCCAGGGCCTTGGTGTTGGATATTTGAGAATTTTATAGGATGTATTTTGATTATATTCAAATGCCCACCCTCATCTCTTCTCAGATCTACCTATACCTCCCCACCTCAACCCACATTTCTCATCCTCTATATTTTTTAAGACCTATTGACTCTAATTTGGGTTCCCTTCATTCATCCCTTGAAGCGTGGTTAGTGTACCTGATGTCATGCCCTTAAAGACAACTAATTCTTCCCTCTCCCAGCAGCTAAATTGTCAATAGTTAAATTTTTAAAAAAATATTATTTTTATGCTGTGTGTATGTGTGTATTGCCTGCATGTAGGTGAGTGCACCCGTGCTGTGCAGTGCCCGTGGAGGACAGAAGAGGCTTTCGGATCCCCTGGAACTGGAGTTATGGACAGTTGTTAGCTGCCACGTGGGTTCTGGGATTTGAACCTGCAAGAACAGCCAGTCTTCTTGAGCCGTCTCTCTAGCCCCGCCAATAGTTAAATTTATTTGTGTCTGTGCATCTGTGTGATGTGTGTGGTGTAAGACTGTGGGTGGGTGTGCCCATGTGCATATGCAGAGGCTAGAGAAGGACATAACTGTCCTTGTCCAACACTCTTCACGTTACTCCCTTCAGCCATGGTCTCTCACTGAACCAGGAGCTGGACTCAGAGCCAGCTGGCTCCAGTGATCCTCCTGTTTCTGGCTCCCCTTCTCCAATGCTAGGGTTATAGGTGCTCCTGACCATGCCCAGATTTTTACGTGGATTCTGAGGATTCAGACTCTGGTTTTCATGCTTGTATAGTCAGCCATCTCTCCAGTCATATTTACCTTTAAAGTACGTAATTTTGGGATATTCACAAAGCAGTGCAGTGTTATCACTGTTGTTACATTCTACCACATGAATAAACTTGGAAAATGTCCTAAGTGAAAGCAAGATATAAAAGGCTACACATTGTATTGTCCATTTATATGAAACTATATCCAGATACATACATCCATAGAGAGAAAAGATTAGTGGTTTTCTGAACCTTTGTGAAGGTTTATATGGAGAATTCTCACTCCTGGTGAGAATAGGTTTTTTGGGGGATGATAAAAATGTTACAGAATTAGTGATAACAGTCAATAATAATCCACAAAAGGTAGGTGCCTACACTTGACTTGGCAATTGATTATTGAGCTTCATATTGACCTTTAATTAAAAAAAATACATTTATTTATTTATTGGGTGTATGTGTGGGTGTGGATATGGGTAGATCTGGGTGTATGCATGCCATGGCACACATATAGAGATCAGAGGACAACTTGGGATAATTAGTTCTCTTCTTTCACCCTGTGGGTTCTGGGGATCAAACTCAGCTCATCAGACTTAGGAGCAAGTACCTTTAAACTCTCTTAGCCATCTTGCTGACCCCAGTATTAAGCACTTTACCTTTGGTCAGTCAACTTGGCAACGCTGTATTCTTTGATGACCTTGGCAAGAATGCTATCAGTGCAAAAATGGGAACGCTAAAAAATTCAGTGGAAATACTGACTATAGTGGATTGAGGGAGGAATGGACGAAATATTTAAATATAGATGTTCCTTACGCTTCAGAGTAAAGTGGAAGAAAGAATTGTGGCTAGAAAGAAATATGTAATTGAGCTTTAATGATATTGAGATATTGTTTTGTTTGCATTGATAAAAGAACTTCCAGCACATTGAAGAGAGAAACAGCTAACAAGAAATGGCTATTAAAACAGAATAGACAGAATAATTGTTATGCAGGGTGTTTGAGGATTGAAGAAAGGAAATATAAAGCACAGGTGGGTCTCTTTGGCGGAAGGAATGATGCATCCTTTGAGATTGGCTAGAAGTAAGAAGTTGCACAGAGATAAAATTTGTAGGTTGCAGTTGAGGAAATTAGTGTCATTTTACACACCTTAATTTTATTTTTTAGAACAATATTTTGTACATAACAATACAATTTATGTGTTAAATACCATAATAGAATGATTTGATATTGTATTTAAATTTAAAAAAACGTTATGTATGTGTATGTCTGAGTGTGGGTGTGTGCATGTGAGGGAAGGTGTTTATGGAGGCCAGAAGAGGGCTTCAGATCCCCTCAGAGCTGGAGTTACAGTTGGTTGTGAGTCACCAGATAATGAGTACTGAGGACCAACTTGGATCCTCTGCAAGAGCAGTACATGTTCTTAACCACTGTGCCATCTATCTAGCACTAATTTGGTATAGTTTTAGACAGAAGATAAAAGAGAAAAACTTCAGGTTACAGAAACAGCACCCCCCCAAGACTAATTTGAAAAACAAAACAAAAAACCCACCCTTTCCCTAAGTGGGTCAGTGCAACAAATGTATTTAGTGACTAGCCATGTCTAATGCTTATTGCACTAATGCACTAATGAGATGAAAAAGAAACCCAGTTGAGCTAGGTGTGGTGGCACACGCCTGTAGTCCCAGTACTTAAGAGGCAGAGGCAGGCAGATCTCTGTGAGTTCAAGGCCAGCCTGGTCTACATAGTGAGTTCCAGGCAAGCTTGGACTACAGGGAGACCCTGTTTCAAAAAAAGAAAAAAGAAACCTAGTTGTAATAGTCATTGCCTCAAACAAATAATACATGTTGGAGTCTTCTGGGGGTGCAAAAATGCTTCTTGCTACTTTAATATCCAGAAAGTTGAATTCCATATCCATCACAGAAAATAGAAAAGAATTCATTTTATATCCTCTTTCTTTACTCATGGGTCTTTCTGTCTATACTGTCCTTTTTACCACCTAACATTACCCTCTCTTGGTCTCCTTTCTAAATTTTTGGGCTTTACCAATATTTAAAATTTCTTCATGTATGCATACACACACATCCATAGACATGTACATGACAGGCTAGGATTCCCATATGAGGGAAAAGTGGGTTTTTCTTTCTGTGTTTGGGTCACCTTGCTTAATATCATGCTTTCCAGGTCCATCCATTTTCCTGCAAGTTTCATGATTTCGTTTTTCTTTACAGCTCAATAATATTCAGTTGTGAATATGTACCATATTTTTGTTATCCATCTGTTGATGAACTCTAGACTGGTTCCATTTCTTTGCTACCTGGAATAGAGCAGCAGTAAACAGGGATGTATGCATGTAATCGGATATAGAGTTCTTTATGTATATGACCGGGAGTGATGTAGCTGGGTTATAAGGTAGTTCTGTTTTATTTTTTAAGTAGGAGAAAGAGTTACTAACCAAAAATGAGGGCAGTAGAATGGAAAAGAAAATTTGAGGCAAGTCATAAAGGGTTGGAATAGATGCAGTGGAGAGCTGGAGACCAAGTTGTTAAGAAATGGTGAGTTATTAAGTCTCATTGTTAGGTGTAGGTACTTACACTATGTTACCATCACAGTACTAAGTTCATGGTAGTGCAAAGTAGTTGAGTTTCCTTCTGTGAGCTGGACATTGATACTGGAATTAGAAAGTCCTGTGTACATGGTGCATCCCTTCTCCCCCTCCGCTCTCCTCCCTTCCCTCCCCTCCTCTCCTTTTCCTTTTGATTTATTTTTTCCTTCCCCATACTGGGGATTGAACCTGAGCAAACCTTTTACTGCAGAGCTGTATCTCTAGCCTTTTTCTTCTTCTTTTTTTCTTAATTATTTTGAAATAAGGTCTGACCAGGTTGCCTAGGCTGCTCTTAAACTATAGCTTAGGTAGACCTTGACCTTGTGACACATTTGCCTCAGCTGGGATTACAGAACTCCACCACTAGGCTCAGCTAACATATACACAAATTAAAAGTTGTATTTGTTGTCAGGTGTGGTGGCACACATCTTTAATCCCAGTGCTTGGGAGGCAGAGGCAGGTGGATTTTTGTGAGTTCGAGGCCAGCCTGTTCTACATAGTGAGTTCCAAGACAGCTGCGGTTACAGGGAGACCCTGTCTCAAAAAAAAGACCAAAAAAAAAAAAGTTGTATTTGTACCCATTAGGCTAAGGATAGTAAAGGTAGACTGTTCCTACCAATGGATATTTATCATCATGAGCACTATAAAAGATTTATACGGAATATAGTAGTATTTTTATATTGATCAAGCATCTCATTTGCATACTCTATAATAAAGAAAATAGGGAGATGATAGACTCACGTACAATCTGCTTATGCTCGTCTTTTAGTTACGACAGCCTCCAGTTAAGCGTTTGAGACTTCGTGGAGATTGGTCAGATACTGGTCCCAGAGCAAGGCCTGAGAGCGAACGAGAGCGAGATGGTAACTATAGTCAGCTTTTTTTGTGACATAATTTGAAAGTAATGTTTCAGCTTATTTCAGTTGTTTTCTAGTGTAAATGATGCTACAGTGAAATCTTGCTATATGTGTTTTGGTATATTTTTCCAAGTACAACATAGAATAAATTACTAGACGTGAAAGGCTGGGTGACGGGATAGGCATATTTTACTTTTGTTAGTGATCAAGCTACTCTTCAAAAATGACACTCATTTATATTTGCATGGAGAATATAAGAATGTTCACTGCCCCATAGGACATTTGGTATTACCATACTTCTTAATTTTTACCTTCTATTAGATATAAAAAAGAAATGGAAACTAAATTTCTAAACTCGAATTTTTTAATAGTACATGCTTAAATTTTTTTTTCTGCATTCCTGTTAATCCCTGTTAATCCCAACGCTTTGGAGGCAGGAGGATCACGAGCTCAGGAACAGCTTGGGTTACATAGTAAGTTCCAGGCCTTTAACAAGCACAAGAAACTAACCTGGGAGCATTAAGATAGCATACTCTAGCTGGGGATATAGCTTAGTTAGTAGGGTGCTTGTGCATGAAGCCCTGGACTTGATCCCCATCACCACATAAAACCAAGTGTGATGGCACATGCCTGTAATTTCAGCATTCAGGAGGAGAGTTAGGAGGATTAGGAGTTCAAAGTCATCATCTATGTAGTGAATTCAAGGCCAGCCAGAGCTACATGAGATCCTGCCTTTAAAAAAAAAAAAGATAGTGGGGTGGAGAGATGGCTCAATGGTTAAGAACACTGACTGTTCTTGCAAAAGACCCTGGTTCAAATCCCAGCATCCACATGGCCACTAACAACTGCCTGTAACTCCAGTTCCAGGGGATCTGACAGCCTCTTCTGTCCTCCGTGGGCATTGCACGACATGGGTGCACTTACCTACATGCAGGTACAACACTCATACATATAAAATAAAAATGATAAAATATTAAAAAAATAAAGATACATACTTTAAAACAGAATTAATCTGAATATATTTTAGTAAAGAAATCTATAGCCAAAATCTTATTCTAGTTATGATTAAACCTTTGTTTTTGTTTCTTTGAAACTGAATCTTGTAGTCCCATCTGGCCTGGAACTCACTATGGAGACCAGGCTGTCCTCAATTTCACAGAGATCTGCCTCCCAAGTGCTAAAATTAAAGGATATATCACCATGCTCCATCTGATTAAACCTTTTATTATCAAAACAATGTTGCTTAGTATACTATCTTTGATTCTATGTTATAATATATTTAGATATAAGATTACAATATGTAAAGATGGCTTACAACCTGTAATCCCAGAACTTGGAAAGCTGTGGCAGAAGGATTATCATAAATTCAAGTCCAACTTGGATTACAGAATGAGAGACCCTGTCTTTAAAAAAAAAAAAATGTGTGATTGTAGAGTTGTAACATTTTTTAAAACTCTGGCAACATATTTTTTCTTGGTCTTTTTGAGACAGGGTCTCCCTGTAGCCCCACCTGTCCTGGAACTCACTATGTGGACCAGGTTGGCCTTGAACTCACAGAGATCTGCCTACCTCTGCCTCCTGAGTGCTGGGATTAAAGGCATGCACCCCCACGCCCCGGCCTTTTCTTTCTTTTTCAAAATAATTCTGGCTAACCTGGTACTTACTATATAGTTCAGGCTGTCCTGCAAATTATAACAATCCTTTCTTGTCAGCCTCCTGAGTACTGAAATTGCATAACTTCAATTTTAAAATGCCCCTAATATTCCTAGTACTGTAAGAAAATAAAAGGCTTTTAATGTCCTCTATACCATAATAAAATAAAATTCCTTAAAGAAAGGGGGAAAAAAACAACAAAAAACCCAAACCTTGTTTATTTGAACAATGAAAAGGAGTGAAGTTGAAAAGACAAAATACTTTCTGATTGGGACTGGAGAGATGGCTCAGTGTTTTAGAGCACCGACTGCTCTTGTAGAGGACCCATGTTTGGGTCCCAGCACTCACATGGCTGCTAATAGCTGTCCCTAACTCCAGTTCTGAGTCGTCTGAAGCCCTTTTCTGGCTTCCACAGGTATTGCACACATGTGGTACACTTATATGCAGGCACAAAACACTCATACACATAATTAAAAATATAAAAAATAAATATATAGCAACTTTCTAGTTTCAGCTAATTTCAACTACCTGGAACTTATAGCCACTGATAACTGTTCTGTTTTAGGAAAATTGATACAAAAGCCTGAGGCTATTTTGTGTCTACTTTGATGATAAATGTTCTAGAGAGAAGAAAAGTCTTTCTCTGTGTTTATTCAACTTAGAATTCATGATCTTTTCCTAGTTGGGCACTCCAATAACCATCACTAGACAGTGATACAGTAGGGGTGGGAGGTGGTGGCGGTCCCAAAGAATAGGTGTAGATGGAGATCTGAACTATTCTTGAAAACATTACCATATAAATGGACAGTCAACCTATAAATAATTATCAAATGTGATAAGGACTTAAATGACTTTTTATATATTTATGTAATTTAATTTTTAAATTACTAGCATTTTAAAGCCCTTCAAATCTAAGGTTTTTTAAAAATTATTATTAAAGATCATCCTGACTTACTGCTAATAGTCTGACTTATGTTATAATAGGAGAACAAAGTCCCAATGTGTCATTGATGCAGAGAATGTCCGACATGTTATCAAGATGGTTTGAAGAAGCTAGTGAAGTGGCACAAAGTAATAGAGGACGTGGACGATCTCGACCCCGAGGTGACTTGCCTTGTTAATGAAAGTCTAAGCTGACAAAAACTGTATCATCTATCTAGATTGTATTGTGTTTTGTATCTAAAGAAGTCTTACGTCTCTTCTGGTTCCACTAGACCTAGCTCTTTTACCAGCTTTTTTTAACGTAGTAAAAACTACTTTAAAAAAAAAAATCTGCCAGGCTTGGTGGCCCATGCCTTTAATCCCAGCACTCTGGAGGCAGAGGCAGGTGGATCTCTGTGAGTTCAAGGCCAGCCTGGTCTACATAGTGAGTTCCAGGCCACCTGGGGCTACAGGGAAACTCTATCTCAAAAAGACCAAAAGAAAAAAAAAATCTGATATTTCCAGTAAGTCCCTTTCCATTGAACTTTGAAAATGGCAATGTACAAAATCCTAAAGATAAATTCATGTATATAATTAGAAAGATTACCTTTTACTTTCATTTGTTTATTTGGTGTGTATTTATGTACACATTTATGTGTATATGTTTGTGCATGTCAAGGTCAGAGAACAGCTTATGGGAGTTGATTTTTCTCCTTCTACTGTGTGGGTTCCAAGTTGTCAGACTTGGTGGCAAACATCCTTACCTACTGAGCTATCTCTCCAAGATTAATTATTTTAACAAGAATGTGTTGCTGATTCTTACCCCTATTGATTAGACTGATCAAGTGGACCAAAACACCAGTGGGTATTACTGATATACTGAAATTTTATATTTATATGTGTGTGTACATGCAGATGCAGATGTATATGTTCTCAATGTATTTTGTGTAGAATTTTTTTTTTACATGTATGTGTGTATTGCCTACATGTAGGTAAGTGCACCCATGTTGTGCAATGCCCACGGAGGACAGTAGAGGCTATCAGATCCCCTGGAACTGAAGTTACAGACAGTTGTTAGCTGCCATGTGGGTGCTGGGATTTGAACCTGAGTCTTCTGCAAGAACAGTGTTCTTAACCACTGAGCCATCTCTCCAGCCCCAGAATTTTTTTTTAAGCATTTAAAATTTGAATTTGGGGCTGGAGAGATGGCTCAGCAGTTAAAAAGCACTTGCTGCTTTTCTAGAGGATACAAGTTTGGTTCCCAGCACCCATGTCAGTGGCTGGCTGTAACTCTAGCTCCATGGTATTTGATACCTCTTGCCTCCTCCAGCACCTGCACATACCCACACACCGACACATAAATAAATATGTATGTATATAACTATAATCTTTAAAATAAAATAATATTTGAATTTGCATTAACGTGCTTCTTTGAAGGTGGAACACATCAGTCAGATGTTTCAACTCTTCCTACGGTCCCATCAAGTCCTAATTTGGAAGTGGGTGAAACTGCAATGGATGTAGATACACCAGCTGAACAACTTCTTCAACCTTCTACGTCCTCCACATTGTCAGCTCAGGCTCATGCAGAAGCATCTACCCTAGAAAACCCTCATTCTGCTTCTTTCCCATCTTCTCCAGATAGTGAACAAAGACAATCTATGGAGGCATCTGGACACCATACACATCAACAGTCTGGTGAGGATGATACTCTTCAAGTAGGCTGTTCTTATTTTGATTCTGATAATGAACACCTTATAGGCTGTTTTGAAAGATATTAAATTATACCACCTTCTTGCTGGGATAAGTAGTCAAAATTCTTTTAATATATGAATATACAACCTAAACATAAATTCAAGTATGCCTAATTTGCATGCATTTTAACAAATAGTGAATCTTTAATTTATATAGGACAGTTTTTTTTTTAAGGTAACAACAGGTGGTATTTTGACATAGTTTTAATATGACTTTTACAGACCATTATAAAAAAGATTTTTCTAAGTTTATATGATTCTTCATCTATATCAAAATGAAAGTGAAAATATATTTCATTATTATTAGTTCTATTGTATTTATATTTTTAAATTTCCCTCAAATTATAAAGTCCTTTAGATATATTCTGTGTAGTGAATTTGATGATCCCCTTTTAACAACATAGGACAGTTTTCCGAAAGAATTATTTCTTTATTATTTACATGAAAAATAATTATTTTACCAATCCTTATCTTCATGGTTCTTGATGCTAGTGAAAAGTATCAGTTCCTAAATTCTGTTAATATTTTTCTCACAATACTATAACTTTTCATGTTCAACTTTTTTTCTCCCAATTATGGAATATTCTTAGAAATTTTTCGGAAAATATGCATATAGCCTACTATTAGAATTTTAAGTACATACTTAAAAATATAATATGCAATAAGCTTGTTTATTTTTAAGTTCTAAGAAAGCCTTTTACTTGATAGAGAACCAAAAGTGTTAGCAAGAAATGTAGCTGGGATACAGCTGGCAGACAAAGCTAAAAACTGGAACAGTTTCCTAATAGCTTTGCTTCCAAGCCATCACATTACTTTTGCTTCTGGAAATTGATGCCAGATCCCAGATAACGGGTTTTTTTAATGAATGGGCTTTATCACAGTATTCCATTTTTTATAACTAACTTTCAGTTTCTATGAGACTAGAAGTCAGTCAACTACATAACTATTAACACAAGTACATTTTACATAACAGTAAGCTAAAGCTGACCTACAGAAATCGGGTTTTCGACATTCTAATTAACATAGCATTTCAGCTTAAGGAAAATAAAGTATTTTGACTGGTTTGATAAGCAGGACAGAGGAGTTAGAAATTTAATCAAAACTGATAAAGGTAGTAAAGACAAGAATTTTTAGAGTGATAGTATTTTTGTAAATACGCTGAAAGAGTTCAATTACAAGTTACCAGAAAACCTTAATGAGAAGATGCTCACTTATTTTTAGATCCACTTATTTTTAATTTTGTTTTGATTTATTTTTATGTGTATGAGTGTTATGCCTGCATGTATGTAAGTGCACCAGTGTTATGTATTGCTCACACAGGACAAAAGAAGGTGTCAGATCCCTTGGAACTGGAGTTACAGACAGTTGTTAGCCGCTATGTGGGTGCTGGGATTCAAACCCAGGCCTTCTGTAAGAACAGCCAGTGCTCTTAACTGCTGAGCCATTTCTCCAGCCCCACTTATATCTTAACTAATCCCAGTTGTTTCTTAAACATATTTGTGAATTATGGAGTGTTTTTAAAAAACTTTTTTTTCATAGATATTTAAATGCATTTTCATACCATGATTTAAATTGTTGAACTCCTTTCAGTGTTTAATATGCTAAATACTACAGTATATTTTTGTGATGATCAGATGATCGTTATTTGAATATGATTTAGCACCTTTGTCCATAAACTTTTCAAAGAAAGTAAGGAGATGTTTTGAACTGGTAAATGACTGAGAATTTTGTTTGACTAAACTATGACTAATTGGCATATTTTCATGTTTCCAAATGGAACCACTATTAAGAAAATAATTTAGTATAAGGTACATCTAAAGGGTTATGCCTCTAACTGTTTTGACAGTAGCCCTTTCATTATACCACAACCTAGCATTTCAACAATAAGGATTTAGAGTTTTCCTTTTGTTCTTTTCCCAGAGCTATTGCACTTACTGAAGCCTGTCTAAATCCAGATGGCTTAATAGATACTGGGGATTGTCCATTGCATGATTGTAGTAGGTGAAAGTGTCAATTGAGAGCTGTAATTTCTGTTGATGCCTTGTGTAGAGATATAGAAAATGGAAAGGACTGTTTCTGTCTATAATTGTCCTGCTGCGGGTACCTCTCGATGTAAATGTTTATGCCCTTCCTTCATACCTCTTGCCTTTCCTTGCAGTTTTTATTAGTTGAGGACAGGGAGGACACAAAAGTGAAAGTTTACCCATGTGCTTTTGTGAATCACTCAGTGATGGTGATAAAAGTCATGACCACCAGTTTTAGGGCACGCAATGTGTTAGAGCAGTCTCTCTTTAATTTCTTTTGCTGTCTAACTATACAGAATGTCTCTTTTACTCTTTCCTGGCTGAATTTTTTTTAGTACTTTCATTTACCTTCTTCCCACCCCCAGCTGCCAACTTTACATTCACAGTGAAAAGCACAGCACTCATTTTCTTAACTTTGAATCTCTCAACTTTATGACATTTGTACTCAGATTCTCTATGGACAAATGTTTCTTTTCCTGTTAGACTCTAGCTGATGTAGTTCCCATCCCTTCCCAGCTTCTCAAAGAGTTCATTATTATTGCCTTTTCTTGTGAATTCTTCCTTTGGGCCCCAGCCATGCTTTTATATCTTTTCTTTAAAACAAAAACAAAGCCCCAAAAGCTGCTCTTCATCATCCCACATTCCCCACAGCTGCTCTATGCCTTATTTCCCTACTGCTCCATTTTCTTTACCCATTTATTCTGAACCAGATGAAATTTGCTTTTTAACCCATTTTACTGACAATTTTTTTTTTTTTTTGTCAAAGTCACCCATGAGTGCCATCTTGCCAATTGTAGAGAATATATCTCTGTTTGTGCCTTGCTAGATTTTTTGGGCCCAGTTGACATAGTCTTTTGCCTCCCTTTTTTTTGGCATTTATGCCATATTTGCCTATTATTGCTCTTATTATTAACTGTGGCTAGTTTTTAGTAACCATTGTTAGTGTTTCTTGTTCTGTCTACGTTTCAGTTTTATAGTTGAACCTCTTGGTCTGATTCTCTTTTCTTCTCCACATGAACTATATTTTTATGATTCACCTCTAAATTTATGATTCCCAAAGATAAACAGTCTTACCTTACATCCTGAGTTTCAGACTCTTGTCTAATTACTGTTTGGCACTCCTTTTTTTGGTTGTTTTCAGTGATCTTAAATTTAATAGTGTAAGGGCTGGAGAGATGACTCAGTAGTTAAGAGCACTGGCCGCTCTTGGAAAGGACCCAGGTTTGATTCCCAGCACCCAGATTGTGGCTAACAACCCATAAACTTCTGTTCCAGGGGATCTGGTGCCCTCTTCTGACCTCTGTGGGCATTGTACAACATGTGCACTGACCTGCTTACAGGCAATACATTCATAAACATAAACAAAAAGTTGTGTAGCCGGGCATAGTGGCCCATGCCTTTTATCCCAGCACTTGAGAGGCAGAGGCAGGTAGATCTGAGGCCAGTCTTGTCTACATAGTGAGTTCCAGGCCAATTGGGCTGCAAGGATACCCTGTCTCAAAAAGACCAAGAAAAAAAAAATTAATAGTATGTCCACTTCAGTCCAGCCTTCTATCTTTCTTTTTCCTTGATTGGTTTCACCTTAGTCCTTTCAAAATGTCTTTCTAGATTTTATTATATTTATTTACTGGGGACAGGGCATGTGTGCATATGGAGTGTGTTTGGAGGTCGGAGAACATCTTTCTAGACTTGTCTCCTATCTTTGGGTCCTAGAGATTGAACTCAGGTTCTCAGGCTTGGCAGGAAGTGCTCTTTACCGAGCCATCTCTCTAGCCCTGACCATAGTCTTTTTATAGCTTAGTAAATTATAATACTGTTTGCACGTTTGCTTATTTTAATAATCCATGAAGTGTCTTGTATTCCTTCATTTCCTTTATGTCCTATGCTGAGTTCACCAGCGAAATCCTGTTGTTGCTGGGTCTGAACTATATTCCACCTCCTTCTTTCTCAGCATTATTTCTTGTCTCTTAAGATTTCCATGCATCTATTTTTGTTTTGTTGAAGTGGCCACAATAAATTTAAAATGTTTAATAAAGTTATATAATTTTGTTGTTTATACCATTCAGTGAAAGTTAATTGTATTAAGCAATATAACCACAAAAGAAAATACTTTGAACTCCTTCCTATAGACTTATAAGAACTTATCTACATGGTTTGGCCCTTGCCAACAGCTCAAGCTTCATCACATTCTTTTGTTTCTTAAGAATCCACAGAGGTGTTGGATCCCTTGTAGCTGGAGTTACAGGTAGGTTTGAGCAGCCCAATGTGGGTGCTGGGAACTAAACTCAGGTCCTCTGCAAGAGCACTGTATGTTCTTAACCTCTGAGCCATCTCTCCAGCTCCTCATTCTGCCTTTTTAATCCATGGACGATCATCATAATCTACAAGTATTGGTTTCTTTTCAGTTCTTCAAGTGTGCCAAGTTCTTTTTTGTTTCTTTGTTTCTAATTCTGAGCCCGATTTCTTACTGTTTTGTACTAGGAAGATTTTTAGACAATGCTTTCCTGAAGATAGGACACTGTCTATTGTATCTTTTTATTCCAGTGTCTTTTTCCTTAGCAATAGTCACTCTCTAAAGATTCAGTAAAAGTATTATGAAATGCTGAGTAATCATTAAGGTAGAGTATATTTATATTTTTAGTCTTTAGAGTTTCAGCCCCACTTGATTATCTGTTTTTGGGGGAAGGAGGTCCTTGAGACAGGGTATCCTAGCCAAGGCTGGTTTTGAATTCCAGATCCTCCCATTTTAGCATCCTGAGTGCTGGGATTACATGTGTATCTGGTCATTAACTTTTGATATGTGTAGTAATCTGCCCTCTGCCTTTATAGTTGTTGTTATTTGTTTGTTTGTTGTCTTTTGAGATAGTATCCCATGCCCTGGCTAGCTTTGAAGTCACTAGATAGCCAAGGTTGGCCTTGTAATCCTGATCTTCCTGCCTTTGCTCCCAAGTACTGAGATGGTAAGACATGTACCACTATACCCAGCAAACTACCCCCAATGTAATGATACCCAGGAGAGATGCTTGCTATGTTTAGATTTCCAATCTGTCATTTTGGGTCCCTGTTTGCCCTAGGCCATATAAGACTAAGTAGAGAATTTTTCTTTGTTTTAAACGTGTTTTTTTTTAATATATATTTTTAAAAGTATTTTAAGATAACTTACAGAAAAACAAAAAAAAATCTTGTGATTGTAAATATAAATGAATAAATCAGGTCTGATAGAAAAAATAAAATGGAGGCACAGGTGAAGCAATTATACATGCAAGGCTTGAGGAGCAGTATTTGGAGCAGAATTAGAAAAATATAGTGACTCAAATGGAATTTAAACTTAGCTGGTAAATTTTTTTTCTTGTTTTTGTTTCTTTACCCTTTGTAGTCTTCAGTTTCATTTTTATTCCTGTGTCACCCAGTTGTGCCTCTACTCCTGACTTTTCCTTCATATTCTTCTAGAGATTCTTCCTTTTCTCAAATGCGAAGTTCCCTGGGGTTCAGTTCTTCTCTGTCTTTGGGGCTTAAAGTCACATCACAAGTGACACTCAGATTTTATCTGCTAGGAATTTTTATATTCATTATATTCATTCTCTGCTTAATTTTTTCATTTATATGTCTATTAGTTGTTTCCAGCATGAATTATCCTTTATTATTCTTCACTGCAACAAATGGCAACTTCTTTACCTCTTACCTAGACCCAACATTTTCATTCTACCTCTAGACATTAGCAAATTTTACTGATTTTATCTTTAAAAAAATTTCACATCTCAGTACATTTCCCCTCTGAATATTTGTACTTGATCTCTCCTCCATCTGGAACACGTTTCTTCACAACAGCTGTGTTATTCCTGCATGTCCTTGAGGCCTTCATTCAAGTGGCACTTTATAAAAGAACACTTTTCTATCAACTATACAAAATAACAGTCCCTCCCCTTTCATCTCTGTCTTCCTGACCTTCTGTGCTAGTTTAATTATAGCACTTCTCCCTGTGGGACACACAGCATGCACACACACACACACACACACACACACACACACACACACACACACATCCTATTCTCAGAATGTAAATGCCATAGGGGAAAGGATTATTTTGCTCAATGTTTGGTTTGTGCCCAAAGCCTCATAAACCATAGGTTCTTAAATACTTCTTTGTAGAGTTTAATGTATTTTTCTTTTCACCTGAATCACTTCCTCAGATAAAGACTAAAAAAAAATTATGCAAATCTTTTTGAGCTAAAATAGAAAAGGTGAATGACAATTCTAACAAAAAGTCATTTAGGTAAGAACAAGATATATAACTTTCATTTTTAAAAGCAATCTCTAATGAATTACAGGAGTTGTTTCCAAATACATAACAGATTAATCCTTTAGTGAATTTAAATTTTATTGTAACAATTTTTTTGCGTTTAAATGATTTAGCTACTCTTTTGAGACTGTCATTTCTGTTATTTTTCTGTACAAAGAGAAAATTAGTGAAGAATTGAATCATTTAAAATCTTAAGAGCTGAGTACTTTGTTCAGTGATAGAGTACGTGCTTAGCACACACAGACCTTGCATTCAATTGTTAATACCCAAAATAAAGTGAAATAGTCTTTTGCTCATGGAGGACTTCATTTTCATTATGTTTGGTTACTTAAAATTTTTAGAAATTATCTGTGTCTGATTCATCATTATTAAAGAAAAGCATTTGAGTATATGTGTATGATTTGTCTCATAATTTAAGGACTAATTATTTTTTATGAGTAATTTGTTTTTAGTATTCCTCTGTGAGACATGTTCTATTTAAATTCTTTCTTGACGTATAATCAACTTCTTACTATTTTCTGTTTTATTACTTTGTTTTCACCTTCCTTTTCTTATTATCTGTGTCAGAATTTTTAAGGGGGCCTGAGATAGCTTTGCTCCGTAAGCGCCTGCAGCAGCTGAGGCTTAAGAAGGCTGAGCAACAGAGGCAGCAAGAGCTAGTAGCACATGCCCAACATCAGCCTTCCACTTCTGATCAGTCTTCTCGTGAGGGCTCTTCACAGGACCCTCATGCTTCAGGTTATTAATGCCAAGTGTGCTTAAGCAGCTGCTAGAGTTTCTTTTTAATACTGCTACTGTGTAATCTGATGTTTCCCTTTCCCATTCAAAAAGAGAGCTAACATGCTTGCCGCTTATCCCTCCCTTCTCGCAAATAGCGGTGTTCATTGACTCATGTTAGAGGGGCAGATTGACAGTAGCATTTACCAGCGATATAACTATAATCCCTTATAATATATTTGGAGAGGGGCAAATATTTATTACTTTTAAAGCTACTGAGTTACTTTCTAATAAATCTACTAAAGTTTGAGTCTACTTTGATATATCTGTAGAAGTTTCCTATATGCTGAAATGAATCTATGCTTCTAGTCTCTTTTCTTTTTCATTTTTAGTCAATAGGTAACCAATGTCTTATACCGACCTAGTAAAGTTAGATTTTTAAAATTATAGTACCATTTGGTCATGCTAACATGCTGTCTCAGCCATTCCCTTTTATCATTATTTGAGATGTTTTAGTAGTTTTCTATCAGTTCTCTAATCAATTTCTTGATAAATGGGGCAGCAAAAGGACTCCATGATCTCATTTTCCTGTTCTTGTCCTCTCAGTTTCTGATGATACAGTAATAATCTGTGCTACCTGGAGTATATTAACGGTCCAATTCTTTAAAGATCAGAAACATTCGTGATACTCAATTAACATTTGTTGAGAGGATAATGAAAGATAAAGCACAAAATAATTTACCAAGGTGGTTGAGAGGTCCTATAAATGCAGTCGTTTAGTTGCTTTATTGAAGACTGAAAACATGTCTTATGTTCCCATACTAGCAAACTTAAAATCCTTTGACACACTTTGCTTTGCCACCCTAAGGAATAATAAGTTTGAGTGTTAATTACTTTGAAAATTCTAATTACTTGGAATTCATATGTACTGTTTATAAGAACTGGACAACCTCCACTTTATAAAGATCTGTTCCAGCAAGTGTGATGGTAACAAAGCATATTGTATAATATTGTGGTAAAAGAAAATAAATTTTCAGCCTCTGTAATATACATACAGTGTTTGGAACAAATCTCATGGACTTGATTTGTAATTTAATGCTATATTAATACAGTGAAAGTCAGTCAAAAATGTCTGAAGTTTTTTTCCCTGTAGGGAGGTCTTTAATGATTAACAAGAAAGTTTGATCAGATTACAGTAATGACATATATTAATACAGCAGTTTTCTATGAGTTCATGCTGTGTATACTACTCTAGTCCAAAATGTTTTCAAAGTCAAAAGAAATCATGAAATACAAAACCAATGAAAAGGAAAATAATGTATATTTATTTGCATGTATTTATTTTGAGTGTGTGTATGTGTGTATATGTGTGTGTGCGTGTGCAAGTGTCAGGAGTGTGTGTTGGGGGAAGAGACTAGAGGACAATGTGTGGGAGTTGATTCTCTCATTCCATCATGTAGGTTCCAAGGATCAAACTCAGGTTGTCAGTCTTGGAGGCAATCAGAAAGCAAAACTGCGTAAAAAAAGAAGCATATATCATGAATGTTAGAAAAATATTTTGACCTTTATTTACCTTTTGTGTGAAGTTTCAAAAATTAGAATTAAAACAGTCCCCTTTTTTTGAGCCAGAAATTTAGGGTTTATATGGTCTGTGTGCAATAAGATGCTATCTTCCCATCTCATACTTGAATTAAATAGTAGCTAGTTTGGAAGCCAGTCTTTTGGTAATCTTTAGAAAGCTCAAGCTTAACAGATTAAAACTTTATTTATTTATTTTTATTTTATGTTTTTGAGTGTTTTGTCTGCATATATGTAAGTGCACTCATGTTCTGCAGTGTCCATGGAGGCTAGATGATGGCATTGCATCTCCTAAAGCTGAAGTTATGGATGGTTGTTAGTTGCCATGTGGATGCAGAAAACCAAACCCAGGTCTTCTGCAAGAGCAGCCAGAGCTCTTAGCTGCTGATCCATCTCTCCAACCCTAAGCTTATCAGTTTTGAAGTTGAGAAATATGTTCTCTTTCTTTGTTTTAAACAACATTCTTAGGCCTTAGAGCTGCCCACATGGTCCATTCTGCTTTCCCATTACTCTATCCTCACATGTCTTAGGAACATTCTTAGTAACTAAAGACCTTAAAAAGTTAACAAGGGGCAACTAATAAAATATGTATAATTTGTCTATTAGGTAAATTTTGGATATGAGGAAAGGTGAATTGGTATGATACAAAATTTATTTCAGAGCACACAGTTATAAAAATAGGGAATGGAAATTAAACTTAAGAAATTTAATAAGAAGATAGGTTTTAGTTGAGTAATAATTGTAAAATCTCATCTTATACTTAGTAATTAGGTACAGGTTTTAAAGTTTATATTTGTTTTTTATGTGTTTAAGTGTTTTGCCTGCATGCATGTAAGGGCACTACATGTGTGCAATACCCATGGAGGCCAGAAGAGGCCATTCTGTCCCCTGGAACTACAGGGTTGTTAGCTTCCGTGTTGGTGTTGGGAACCAAATTTGGGTCCTCTCCAAGAGCAACCAGTGCTCTTAACTTCTGAGCCATCTCTCCATTCCTTAGATATAGTTTTATATATGTATTTTGGCAGTAATTGATCCATTTTCACATAGTAGATCTTACTATCAGTATAGAAAGTACCAGGTGTGGTTGTGTATGCCTTTGATACTAGAACTCAGGAGCAGAGGCAAGTGGATCTCTGAGAGACTGAGGCCACCCTGGTCTACATAGCAAGTTTCAGGCCAACTGGGGCTTCAGGGACACCCTGTCAAAAAAGAAAGTACCAAAATTAGCACATTAGATTTTAATTTGTTAGGATTCTTAGGTATAAAAGGATTATATTTCTTGTTGTCATGTGGGGAATCTGTAAGTTGTGAAGGGCCAGCAGATGGCTCAGTGAGTAAAAGCTTACCTTGCAAGTTTGATGACCAATGTTTGATCCCTGGATCCCATGGTGGAAGGAGAGAATTTAATGACTCTTGAAAGTTGTCCTCTAATCTCACATGTGCTATGACATGTGCTTGCCTACACTCAAACACATGCATATATCATACAAATGTGAAGTAATAATAATAAACAAACTTTAAAAATAAGTTATGATACTGACAAGTGATACTTCCATTGTCTTTCCATTTACTTAAATCCCTTAAGGTATAAGGTGTTCAAAAGAGATATGGCTTGGAATCAACAAGTACAGAAAGAATATCTGAATTATTATATTGTCTAGCAAATATTTTATTATTATTTTTAAGTTTTTTTTGTGTGTGTATGTGTGGTTTTGTTTTGTTTTGTTTTGTTTTTGGTCTTTTTGAGACAGGGTCTCCCTGTAGCCCTGGCTGGTCTTGTACTCGCTATATAGACCAGACTGGCTGCCATTTTACAGAGATTTGTGTGCCTCTGCCCCCTGAGTGCTGGGATTAAAGATGTGCTACCATGCTCAGAAAGATTTATTTTATAGGGTGTTCGATTCTCTGTAACTGTAGTTATGGATAGCTGTAAATTGTCTATAAACTGTGGATACTGGAAACTGCCATGTAGGTGCTGGCAAGCAGCTCTGGGTCCTCTGCAAGAGTAGTATGTGCTCTTAATTACTGAGCCATTCCTTTAGCCCATTGATCTTCTTTTCAAAACACAGGACTCGGGGGAATCTTTTGTGAAAGATGGGATATAAAATGAGTCAACAAAACCTAGTTTTGATATAAAAGTTGAGAGCAAGTCATTTTGCAGAAAATAATAACTTGCAGTTTTAGTGGGATCAAATAGGACAGAACCTGTTATTAATGAAAATCACAGGTGGAATATTATCTGTTTAATTGTTAATATTTCTTGCATTATTCCACAATAGCAAATGGTATTAAACTTCACTTTTAAATTCCTTGTTTAAAATAAGTCATATAAAAAGTTAGGGCTCAGTGGTGGAACACTTGCCTAGTGTGCCTAAGGCTCTAGGTTTGATCCCACAGTGCTATAAGAAAGCAAAAGAGTTGTTAGAAGATTTTTAAGCCCCCTTCAATTCAGCTATAACTTTTTCATCAGAGTCTTCTAGGGATTTTTTAAATTTAAAGTAATGTGCAATGGGGCTGGAGAGATGGCTCAGTGGTTAAGAGCACTGACTACTCTTGCAGAGGACTGGAGTTCAATTCCCAGCATCCACATGGTGGGTATGAACCGTCCTTAACTCCAATTCCAGGGGAATCCGAAACCCTCTTCTGACCTCTGTGGCATTGTACAACACAGGTGCACTCACATGAAGGCAATACACTCATACACATTAAAAAAATATATAAATTAAAAAAATAATAATGTACACATGACTAGGGGTATATCTGTGTTTGAGTGCTTGTCTAACATAGCAGAACCGTGGGTTTGGGTCCCAGGATCACTGAAGAAAAACACAAATGTCAAAGTAATGCTGTGTGATTTTTGGTGTGAAAGGAAA